GATCCGATGGCTTTGAGCAGCCCCAGTGGCTCAGCAGCAGCAGCTCCACCATAGTCAGTCACACAGGTGGCAGGGAAATTACAGTGTACACATACTTGTAGCTTGGACGTCTTCCACTTGTGGAAACCAATAAAGACTGCTCAGGCTCCTGCCAGCGACTGCAAAAGCTATAGTTGGATGTTGAAGTCTGAGTTATGCCAAGATATTGCTCACCATGCGCAGAACAATATGTTTTAATGGTCGGATACAATAAAATAATGAGGATTGGTCCCATTTTTTCCTTTTTTTTAACAATGGCTCCCTTGTCTCGCATGTGCACAATCATGGGCACCTTCTCACACGTGAGTGCAAACCATCTAAATAGTACAACCTGTCTACCCACTTCTTGTAAAGCATTTTGCAGCAATGTAAAACCCTGTACAAGATTTTTTGGTACATTACCAAACATATGGATATAGTGTAAACACCGGCTCTTTCACTTCCTGATTGGAAAAGGTCATTTCAATCAAACCATCAGTCTGTGAACCTCTGCTGTTGGATGCATGCAGGATATATGAAGGTGCCACAGATCTGCACTTCTGAATCTCTGCAGTTTTAAAGGATTTCAACTTGGTTTCGTGTTGTCTTTGTGTCGCCTGGTCTCCGAGCAGGTCTGTGGTGGTTTTACTCCCTTCAGTGTTCTCATGTTTTATACATGGTTTGCAGTTTAACTATAAATCTCCTGTCTGGTGCCTTTACATAAGGTCCAGGAGACTGCTGTGAAAGAAGAGGAAGAGCTTTGGAGCTGCTCTAAATAGCAATACCACAATGTAAAAACACTTAAACACAAAAATCCAAGTACTGTAAGAGAAAAAGCAATCTGGAGGTTCTTGTCAGTCTTATTTAATTTATTTTGATTATACTGGGCACCTTTTTTTTAACGTTAACATTTGAGCAGTATTTAGAGGTTGAAGCTTACACAACTTTTCACCACTGAGTAAAAACAGCTCTCTATATATTATTGTATCACATTTTACGTGCTCAGATAATTTTTTTAATGCAAAAAAACCCCAATATCTTTTTGAGTCATACTGTACATCTTCCTAATTATACCTTTTCAACGCAAATATATTTTTATTTATGTTACTTTATGTATTTTCATAACTTTCTTTGACCTTTTCTGCTCTCCGATGTATCCGTCGGAGTATGAATGTGTGTGTGAATGTTACTTAGAAAGCACTTAGAAAAATGTGCTTGTGCGAATGGGTGTGAATGGGTTAATGTACAAGTTGTGTACAGCGCTTTGAGTGCTCAGAAAGAGTAGAAAAGCGCTATATAAGAACCAGTCCATTTACCATTTACCATTTACCTTTTCAAAAGAGGTAAATTGTAGAGGTGAAAAATCATTTTTACCTGTGGAAAATTTAAGCAAATCTAAAATGAGAAATTTATTATAGTTGCACTACCATGTAGTTACATTTGGTTTTTTAAATGTATTTATTTGCCTGATCTCTAATGCATTTGATTCTGAATCATGTGAAGCACGAGCTTTTTCAGTCTGTTAAGATGCTCAATAGATAAACACTGAAGCATGCGAGATGTGAGCAAAAGCTAAGCTGGTGGAGTATTTACATTCATGGACATTATTCTTTATGAAATTAGCTTTTAAATGTGCTGTTTGAACAGTTGTAAGTTTACAGATTAATATGAATCTAGAAAAGCAATTTTCTTGAATTATTCATGACAGTTCATCAGGACAGTAACTGATGCAGCAGCTGCAAGATATGAAATTTCCTGCATGAATGTTATTGTCCATTTGAATATCTGTTTCTAAACAGCATCACCTCTGATTATTGCAGTTATCGTTCTTGTTTTCTACAGACATTCTTTATGAACTTTGAACTGTCCTTTTGATGACAGTAAACATAGATGTGCTGTATGCACTGACATGCATGGCGCATCTACAGAAAGGAGCTCATACTCATACTCACACATGAGATGATGGATTAATAGTCGATTAGTGGCCACACGGCTGCAGGCCCTCTGGGGAGCCGACCTGAGGCAGAGAGGCCACGCGATCACAGCACATTCCTGCGGCGACTGCGTGCATGCGACATCCTGCTCGGCTCTGCATAAAGTCAGGTTTTTGGAAGGTGACAAGCAAGACCTTAGCTGACTGCTTTTGGTATAGACATTTACATAGTTTATTCAAATGACGTCAAAAGAACCAGTTGAACGTTTGATCGGCGTGTGATTGATGACAGGTGAATTCGTTATGAATAATTCATCAAACCAACAGTAAGTTTCACTTGATTTATCTGATGACACTTTACAGTGCTTTGATTAATGGACTCACCAAGTTTAGTCAGAAAAACCCTAATGAAATTAGAATTTGAAATTTTCTTTCATTTGAATAGCCTGCCGCTGCTGCAAAAAGCAAATCAATTCCTTTTTGTGTAGATAAAAGTTCAATGCATTTAACCACCTCAGTTTAACATTACACAAGATTATACAAAGCTCATCAATGCACTGATGGATAGTTACACATCAGGCTATCTGCTCAGGAATAATCTACCTGTGTTAGCTGTTTTCTTACTCTGTTATTACGCACATGACTGCTACTGTACCCCGCCTTCTCTTTTTTTTCTTCTTTTTTCTAGCAGCAGCCATAAAATCACATCACCAGAGACATTACTGTCTGAAAAATCAACATTAGTCACAGGGATCAGTTATCTGATCCGACTGTGAGGATTAGTCAACACGGGAAATGAGCAAAGGCTCTGTGAAGCTGAATGAGGGTTTACTGTTACACCTTTTGATTCCTGCTTAGGTGCATGAGACAGTATCATATGTCAAACACGGCTTTGTGCTATCAAAACAAACCAGGAAGCTGTCAAATTAATCTCAGCATGGCTGTCTGAGCACAAATCCCATGTTGTGAATGATAGCTGGGTAGGATCATCAAGCTAATATTAAAGTCTAAGGTACAAAGACGCTAAAACAGATGACT